TTGTTGAAAACTATTTTTGCCAATTATGTTATACCTTTGTATGTATATGTTATTTTTATGGTAATACAATATGTTTAAATCAAATTTACCAATCTTTCTAATTAGGAAATTTCATAGTTACACTGAAAGGAAATGTAAAAACATTTATAAGCTGCTGCCCCTTCTACCTAATAGTAACTACATATTTACAATTTGTATTTAAAGCAAAACAAAAATCCGGAGAAAAAATAGTTTGTTGTAACTATATAAAACTAAGCTTGTAATTAGAAAACAATTGCTCAGTGTAATGAAAAAATAATTAAGAATACCATTGTTTCACTTTTATTTACATTTGAGCCATTTACGGTATCGTCTTTGATTTTGCTCCTGGTGATAATATTCAAATAATAGCTGTTCCCTTTTAATTCTCATATGGAGCAGTTACATTATCTTATTTCAGATTGTTTCATTTTTACGCAAATCAATGCATGTATTATCAATTAGATAAAAACAAAGAAGTGTTGTTGTTGTTGTTTTTTTTTTGCCAGATAACAATGACTAGATATTCGTTGATAAATAATCGTTTTCAGACTCAGGACTATGTCTATTGGCAGCTTTATTTGTCTCCCGACGCAAGTAAGTGCACAGAATATGGTTAAGCACTGATACAAAAATGAATCCTACACTAGATTAGCTGTGCGTTGTTTTACAATGATACTGTCTATGTCAAAGAACCATATTATATATCATATTATAAATATTTCGGAACTTGAATTTCCTTTCTCGATGAATCTGTTTATAATTAGCTGCCAAGGTATTTACCTGAGATATTACCAAACAAACCACAATCACTGTAAACATTTATAACAATTTTTGAAGTACACCGCCATTTGCTAAATGTGAATTGTCTATTACGGATGATACCACATTCCATCATAAATAAGAAATGTATATGTTTTCGATTTTTTTATAATACCAGTGTGTAACCGGTATTAAACATATCCCAAACTTGTATAATTATACAGTTTATATATAACATTCTTTAATACAAAGTAAAAAACGTCGTCACATCAGATAATCATTTTGCACATATTAAATGTGAAGATAGGGTGTATAAAATATCAGTGAATAAAATCAGTAACTTTTAAATGAAGTTTCAGACAAGAAATAATCATGATAGGAAAATACGAAGTCATCTTTTTTCTTTATTTTAAATAGTGTACAGTACATTGCATTTCGTAACGGTCTGATTAGAATTCAAATTATGCTACTATTAAATTTTGTACAATATCTAACGCAGCTATTACGTTTTAAAGATATTCTGAATAGAATTGTACTAAAATGATTTAAGCAAAACCTTTACGCAAATCGTGACGAATTAAGCTAGACGCTCAAAATAAAATAGAATAAAAACAGCGACTGTCGTGAAGTTTGTTTTTTACGTCTCATCGTTTAACCACATTAGTCTTGGACTTACTTTTCGTAGGCGTAGACATTTATGTTACTTTACTAGATAGACTCAAAGTTGAAATGAATCGTTGAATAAACTCTATTGAAGACAGTTTATGCGAAATAGATTGTCAATTATTTTCAAATTAAGGCATTTTCATTTGACGAAAAGTAAGGAAGAGATAAGTTAAATAGAGGATATTTGTTTGTTTTACAATTTATGATCGAAATATATTACACAGAAAGAAGAACGGACAATTTTCAAACGTTTCCACTTATTTTAATTGATGAATCTTCATTTGAGCGCCGGATTTATGATATAAACCAAAGAACAATTCGCGTGAAAGGGTCTTTAACAATAACTTAGATTGACGACATTGCACGATCCTTGAATTGCTTGTGTTTTAAACTGTAATGATATGTGGATCTACGCATTTGCATTATAAGATGAATTCTCGAATTGTTCATTTAACTGACAAAGAAACAATAAAACCTTGATTATTTAAAAACATGACTTAATTGTCATTTCATTAATTTTATATTGAATACACACCGAGCATTATGCAAATACAACACTGGTTTTAGAATCCCATTTAAATTTTACGATATCCGTTCTCTTACTTTAAATTTTAAATAATTATACTATTTTAATTGATATTGACATTTTGCCTAGATTGTCAGAACTAAATGATTTCAAAATTTAATTACCTTGTTATTATGTATGAAATTGCTTGAATTTGGCATAAAGCAACAACTATTTATATCAACGACAAAATAGCCTGATTCTTCCGCGAAAACGGTAACATCATATGCCTACGTTTAACACTGGAAAGTTTTCGTTTAACATAACATAACTATAATATAAATTTTGTAAAGTTACACTGAAATAAAACAGTATAATGACAGCATCCTTCTCATATTTTGTTAGGGCTGACGTTGCACGAACACAGTAGAGGTTATAATGGCGCTATTCTAGAATGACCGGGAGAGGAAGACCTTACATTATGTCAGTCACAAACAGTCACCCGAGTTGAACCATCGGCGTTCCGTAAGCTAGCTGGCAAGCTTTCTCTCACATGAAAGAAATCGAAAATGATGGAACCTACAGCAATGAGGGGCAAGTAAGTTGAAGTCAACGACTGTAATCACTTGGCCAATGATGCCCCTATACCTTATTTGTTAGTGATTATTTGTCAAAAGTAATGTTTATTGTTAGTTGGGTATTTGTCATTAAATATTGCCAACTCTTCTATTACATTGTTAAGACATTTTGCAAATCAAATGACTTTAAAAAGAAAGAGCTAAAAAGGTACCAGCGTTTACGCTTAAGCGGACAATAGTATTTTTTATTGCTATAAAACCTTTATTTAAATATATATTTTTTGAGAGGGGTGGAGTGGTGTATGATCCGTTTTGAGTGATCTGCAAGTTTCCAAATATATGTCGACTAGAAGAATCACTAGGGGTGTAATCGATTCAATCGATATCGGTCTATCAACGATCTTTGCAATCCGATTCGATATCGATTCCATTTTGTAAATATCGGGTATCGAATGCAAACAGTTTTCAAACATTTTTTTCCAAAACGAAAACGGAAATCAACGCCAAAATTACCTCCCCGTGTATCTGACGAATGCTGCCGAATTTCGTTGTGATCTCGCATGTCTGCTAAGGCGTTGGAAAGACCCCGAATTCAGAATTTATATTATTAATTTAGAAAAATGCCAAGAAAATTTGTTAGTGTTTCTTTGTGCAAATTTTGATTACAAAATGTTAAACTTTAATAAATATTCAGGTTTTAAACACTAAAATTTGCCCACTAAACCCCCGGTTAGTTGGAACGTTAAGGACGGCATTTAGCCTAAACCTTAACTACGTAACACAATCAACAACAACAACCAACAAAATCATGGCTTTAAGAAAGAAAACAAGCGAACGTGTGGAATCACTTCACAGTTTGGTGCGGGAAAGAACAAGTAAATTGCAATATTGCAACAAAATCCTTCCTACAGCGGTAATACTACACTTGCGAAGCCATTTAGATAGAAAACACTGGTCAGTCGTTCATCGCTCACCGGTAATGTACATTTCGTCAATCATCTGAGATTATTAAGCTCTTATGCAGTGTCTATTCTGGGATTTGAAAAACAGGGGGAGGGGGGATTTTTATCGAAAAGTGAGAATTTATTTTATTATATTTCTAATTTTTTTCCCTTTTTTCTATATGTATCCTGTCTCTGGGAAAAGAGGGGGGGGGGGGTTCTCAAAAATAGGAGTGAATACCCCCATCCCCCTCCTAGAATAGACACTGGTTATGATAAACATTTTAACTGATTTTTCATAATAAATGAAATAGAAAGGTCATGTGGCTGACCCTTGGATATTTTAAAAAATCAGTAAGAAATGTATTGTTGTTCTATTTGTAGTAATGAAATAAAGCATCAAAGCTTTCAATGTTTTGATCTAAATTTTTTTAAATAAATAGAATAACCATATCACTTGATAATTAATGCATGTGGTAAATTAATCAATATTTCAACACTATAATTTTTTTGTATTTTATCTTTTCAGGTTCAAGTGAGCATTGATTCTGGGACAGTCAGTACCCAGTAGGTAGTATACCAGCAAGTAATGTCTCTATGAAGTCTGATTTTATTTCACTACCAAGTCTACCATCAATGCAATTTATCAGACCAGAAAGATCAGGTAACGGTTCGAATTACACCCCAACAACTTGAACAAACAACAGTTCCTAGTCTTTTTAACAAACATAAACCATTTTCTGAATTCTTGTCAAGCAACAACAATTTCTCAAGGGAATTGCTGAATATATAGTAACGGATATGAAGCCATTAACTACAGTTGAAGGTGAAGGATTTAGGAACCTGGTAAAATTACTGGAACCCCGCTATAATATTGTATCAAGAAATCATTTGCTTGAGAAATACATTGTGCCTATGTATCATAATACTGTTGGTCAAGTCCAAAGAGATCTAGAGAAGGGTATGCGGCATGCTTTTACAACAGATGGTTGGACATAAAATTAATGTAAAATTAATAAGACATTACTACATGACACAAATTTTTCAGCTTTTTCTAAAGTTTTGACACAAAGGTTTTTATATCAGTCATACATCTGAGAATCTTGCCCAGGAAATGAAAGTTTGTATTAACAAATGGAACCTGCGAGATCCGGTGTAACCGACAATGCTGCAAATATTGTAAATGCATGCAATATCGCTGAATTACAACACGTAGGCTGTTTTGGACACACATTGAATTTAGCAGTTAACAGATGTCTTGCAGTTAATGAAGTAAGTGCCTTGATTGGGAAGTGTAGAAAGTTGGTATCTGTGTTTAAACAAAGCTGTCTTAAAACAAGTGCCCTTCATGAAGCTCAAATTTCACTTGATTTGAAACAGCTGCAGGTTATCCAAGATGTAGATACCAGGTGGAACTCTGCACTTGCAATGATTCAAAGACTTTTACGGACTATGCCTGCCATTTGGACAGCATGATACAAAGATAAGAAGTATTCTCACTTGCTGCCAAGTGATATAGATAGGAAAAGCATGGAAGATTTAAAATATTTGCCTAGTCCAGTAGAAGAAGCAACTATAAGAGTATCTGCTGAAAAATCTGCAACAGCAAGTTTGATTCTGCCTATGATGGAACGGTTTATCAAACACGACTTTGTGTCAAAGACTACTGATAGCCCTCTGATAAAGAAAGCAAAAGATGCTATAAAAACAGATCTGATGAAAAGGTATCAGTCAGAAGATGTGAGAAAACTTCTTGGAATGGCAACAGTGCTTGATCCTAGATTCAAGAACATGGTATGGATCAGTGATGAACAGATAGTTGTCTTTAATACTTTGATGACTGAAATGTCTCAGGAACTTGATAAAGTAAAGGTCAAGACAGAATTTGACACTGAAATAATTGAAAGTGTAGCTCAAAGCACTGAGTCAGTTCAATCTGAAAACCCAAATGCAGATGTAATTGATGTAAAGGATGAACATCTTAATCTGGTGAAAAAACCAAAGTTAGATGCTTCAGATGATGATTTCTTTGATATTCTGTTTATAAAAGAGGAGAAAAGTTCAGAATCAAACCAATCTGTAATGAAAACAGAAATAGAGAGATATAAAACAGAAACAGTGTCCATGAAGCAAGATCCTATTGAATGGTGGAAAATAAAGAGAGAAATTTATCCTAACCTTTCAATGTGTGCTTGTAAATATTTACACATTCCTGCTACTAGTGTTCCTAGCGAAAGAGTTTTCTCCACAGCTGGAAACATTTTGAATAAGAAAAGAGGCCAGCTCACAGCTGATAATGTTGACATGCTGATATTCCTGTACCATAATTACAAAAGGTGATGCTATTGCAGTATCAGACTAACAGTTTGGATTTGCCAGTTCCTTGTTTACTGTTTCAGTGTTTATCGAATAAAGTGCTAGACTGCATTGTTACTGCAAGATGTTTAAGTCAAATGTTGACAATCTTGACAGTTAATGTCAGTTATTGAGTTATACTTAGCAGATGATTACTTAACTCTAGTCATGTGTGTCTTTTAATTGCAATAATCCATTGACATTTAAACATAAGGGTGACAGTACTGTTTGGTAATTTGAAAGTGGTTAACAGTTAATAATTACTAGTCATTAGTTACCATAATTATTATTATTAGCTATGATTTTTAAATGAATTTTCCAGAGGGTAAGATATGCTTGACATTAACCCTAAAAGCGTGCTTTAAGATTAAAATAATTTAAATTTACATCACTTGCGCTTCAGTATTGACAAAAATTTCTGATATATATACGAAAAAATCATCATCACAAACAATATTCAATGTATTTAGATGTACTACGAATAAGTTGCTCTTTCATTCAGTATTATCTAGGCGCTTAAACTGCATCTACACTGACCAAGATAACTAATTAGTGTCTGCATGTACGTATTTAGTCTAAGCCATAGTATTTAGTCTCGACCAATTGTAAAATGGATTGAAAGAATTTTATGACAGGAAACTCAGCTGGGGTCCAGGTTCAAATGAACAAGGACTTAGATTTATATCATATTTTACTCTCAATGCGCTTTTTTTTAGGAAAACAATTCAGGCCTGTGTGTCTGGGAAGGGGGCTTCAGCCCTTCAGCTCCCTGCCGTGTATCCGTGCCTGTAATTATCACATAAGTCTATTTAATATGGAAAAATATTATAAATAGATGGTCAAATCAATTTTAATTTTCCATAAAAATGTTCAATTTGAGACATAATTTTATCTTAGTCTTAAAGATGAACCGTACTTTAATATCGTGGTTACAAACTTGTACGTATCGTATTTGTCGAGGTCCAGTATGACATACTTCATGATGCTGGAGAAAACATACTTGTGTTGATTCTTTTCTTTCGCTAATAAAGTTTCTTTTTAATGTCAGTCTACGGTTTAAAATAATAAAAAAAGAAATAAACAATATACGATTTCAATGTTTTAATAATTTGTATGGGTCGTATTTCTACAGTTAAGAAATAATAGTTCGCTGAATAAATGGTTTATGCATGTTATAAAGAAGTGTGCCACCCGTGAAAAAAGAACTGTCTTTGAAACCAAATCTCAGGAAAGTGTACAACGACTGTTTTGTCTTACTGCCTGGATAATTGTTCTCTTTCATGTTTTTTTTTCTTCAGAATTAATATATTTTCTCCAATCTCTACTGTTTACATTAATATATTCACTTATTCGAAAACCTAGAAATAACTCTATTTATAATGGAAAATGCCACTACTACGACTGTTTCAATTTTATTGACTTTCATTATAAACAATTTATTTTTTGAAAAATTTGCAATCGATATAAAAGAAATATTGATCATTTTCAAACACATCAATTATTTTCACCTTAAACAGTAAAGTAATGATAGAAAAATAGAAATATCATGTTCATTGTGTTTATGTTCATCAATAAGTGTAAATTTCCGCAGCTAAATCCGTAAAGTGCCGAAATCCGGTGTTTAGCTAGGTTTTCCGAAAGTAAAGGGATATAACTCGGTCGTACCATTTACCGTAGTACGAACTTCTACACAGTATACACTACTTTTAGTTGCTTTAACACATGCGTAATCGTATAATTGACACATATTTTGCAAATGAAGGAAATTAATATCTAAACACATTTTGTTTGATGCTTGATCTGATCGTCGATAAACTAGGTCAGATTAATGGGAAAAGGGCACTTAATCCCCCGGACAATTCAAGCCACACCCACCCCTCAAGATACTTCAATATTGAATATTTTTATCGTTTCTAACATTAATTATCGTTCAACAGAAAAAAATAAAAATTGAAAATGGGTCTCAATCAAATTTCTTAAAAAGATGAGTGAACTGTCTGAGGGTGAAGTGTCTGCAAAATGGCCAAAGTTAAAATGTCTGAGGAGTGACGTGTCTGTACAATCTCATTGATAAAAATAGTGCTTCTAAGCGGAGGAATCGTTATTTAGAAAATTATTTCAGTCACCACAAAAAGATATTTTGGCACATATTTTTCACATAAAAGTTACTTCCTAATGTTTTTACTAACATTTTTGCTCTATATTAAAATGTATTATTACTATTTTCTATATAACTTGTCGTTCTACTTTTTCTGCTTACGACTTTCATTCATAAAACCGTGTTTGGCTGTACTTCGGATTGGACAAATTAGGTCAAAGTAGTGCAATTATTACGATATTTTCTCGTTTATATGATATTCATTTGTTTATCTTATAAGTCAGATAACTAACGGTCTTTGCAATCAAACTGGAACATAAACGCTTTCCACATATTTCGACATAATGTGTGTGCTTTATATGATTAAATCGTGCACTATTTGTTAGATGTTATTCGGTTCGGGACAATTTTTGATTGTAGACGTCGAAATTCCATGTGTAGATGACATAGCTCTGAACGCGCCTGAGGGCGCGTCCGTCGCAACAACATATAAAAGCTGAAATATTTTAAATCTGAGCCATCATTGGCATGTTTACATCTACTGATTTTGCAGAGCTGAAAATACTGTCCATTTGTATGTTAAGCCTCTACCACGTTTTATAAGTTAAGGCGATTTCCAAAAGAAATAATTACAGTAGAACTCACTGATTGGTGATAAAACAAATCAGATTTCGAGAGAAGTCGCGATGATTACATTAAAGACAAACATATACGACAATGTAATGAGGTTATTATACACTGTTGTGTACAATGCAATACTGAATTCTTTCCACATATGTAAAACTTATATGCGACCGAATCCAATATAGGTTCTTCTTCGACGTGTACGAGTCCATAGAACATGTATGGTACAATGTATAACGAAGTCCTTATTTCACACTTCTTAAGTAAACCGCATATTATATGGACAAAATCTTTATAAACTTTTATATGAATAGAGCTATCTTTTGAATTTTAAAGTGAATTCGAATTCGTCTGTACATATCATACAGTGATAATTGTTTAGATAGTATTTATTATCATACGGGACAACAAAACAAGAAGGAATTATAAATGCATGTTGTTGGTAAGTTTGAGATACATGCAAAAAGTACTAGAGTAATAAGTAATGATCAAATTCATCACATAAACCGCGGCGCAGTAGTGTAAAAAAGCCATTTAAAAAAACGATATAACACAAGTGGAATAACATTTTGACCTGACGTCATTTGCGTTATATATAAGCAAAGCGCTAAGGCGCGCTAATGTTAACGTTACAAATTAGGCGCGTCAATTTAAAAATGATTACATTTACCGTTCTTATACTATATGTGTAATAAATCGAATATTATATACGTGTAGAGTCAATACTACATTTATTGAAAACGTAGAATAAAGCAATACAATACTCGCCAGAGGCTCGCATAACATGTTTTACTCAACTCCTTCAATAAATTCAGTATTAAACCTACATTCAATCTCCTCAATGAATTGCATTACCTAAAATATTATAATACGAACAAACAATATCAACGTTTACGTGTCTTTATAATGCGGCTCCGGTTATATTTACGAACAACCGTTTATATAGGGTCCTATAACCTGTCAAAATCTTTATAACTTAATTAATAATATATACGACAAGCAGAAAACGAATAGCTCTTGGTCAATTTGAACTCCATTAACATCTTTTTCAGGAAATATTTTACTAGAATATCAATATGATTTATATCAAGATTTCATACCAAGTTATTTTGAAATATTCACAACATTTGTTTCAAGGGATATCTTATAAGAATAACCAAATGATACATTTCTGTTGTTCTTTTATATCAAAATTTCAAATTTATAGACCGAACCACTTTAAGATTTCATCAACATGATTTTATCAAATTACAAGTATTTTTGGTAAAATACTTCAATAAGCATTAGGTTGCTTCCAGTCTAATCATTTTTTTGTATTGATTGTAAATATCATGTATGTAAATATGCTTATCTGACGGATATGTTTAAACCACGTATCATAGATAGAACATTGTACATGGAAATACAATTTGCTAAGATTTCCCTATCAATCGTTGGAAATTCTATTTGATTAATCATATATCATATGTCCAAATCAAGTATAAATGAAAGCGATCCTATGATTTTCTGTACTTATCTATAATAGTCACTTTATAGGAGTACACCGAATATCTTGTAACCTATTAAATTGAACAAGAGGAAAAGCAAGTTTTATTTGATTTTCTTCCTTCTTCACACCGGAATTATGATTTAAGTAAAAACAATGAATTACTTACTATATACATCTACAATGATATAGATCAAATACGGATCAAATCAAATATTTGTTACATTTGGATATTTTGATTTTTAATTCAGCTCTCTCTTACTACTTCTGAAACTCGGTTGAAACTTTATTTTATAGAAAATAATATGTTGACATTTTTATGTTTGAACATAAACGTATTAAGATAATGTTTTTCTTATGTTATCTTCGGTCTGTCACCTGAATCATTCCATAACTCAATTGAAAATATATCGCAAATGACTACCAGGACAGTTAGATCGCATTAATGGCGCATTTTACGATTTTTTCTACACCTATTTAAAACAATACGACATATTTATTAATATAGTTTATGTTACAAAAGAAAATAACGATTCGTTTTAATCACAATATCTAGATACAGTCTACCTATTCATTTTTTTTTTTATAATTTTTCATTTGTCAGATTTTCACATCATGGTTTATGGAGTATTTAAGTGCTCTTTTGGATGCAGCAATTAATGAATAATACAGTATCACTGGGATTTATTCACAGATTGTTAGTCATAAAATAATGGACAATACGCCCAACAATGCGTGTGAAATTCTAAAAAAAAAATTGACGAAATTGTTTTGTAT